GAGCTCTCCTTACATCTAAGGTATGCCAAAGTTTCTCTCTAGGGTGAGCTGGATCTGGACAAAAATTTGGTAAAACAATTTCTTGCGCCCTATGGAAATGAGAATTGACTTTTGGTATAAAAGTAGGATCCAATCTTGCAGACATAATTGCCACTAGAAAAATTACTTTATGTGATAAATGCTGTACGCTGTCAGTTCTTAAGGGCTCAAAGGGTGAAAGTGTAAGGGCTTGCAGTACCTTGGTAAGGTCCCATGATGGAAATCTATGAATGACCCCTGGTCTTAAATTTGCTGCCCCTTTAAGGAAACGCTGAATTAAAGGATCTTGAGACAACAAACTTGAACTTGTACATGACATTACCGATGAGAGCGCTGCAACCTGTCTATGGAGAGTTGCTGGGGCAAGACCTTTGTCCAATCCTTGTTGTAAAAAATATAAAACCTGGGAGATCGAAGCCTCTCCAGGAACTGAGCCCTTATCCTTGAACCAATTACAGAAAACTCTCCAAGTAGCTTCATAAATCCTAATAGTGGGTTGTCTTCTATCTGCCTGTATAGTGTTAATAAGCTGTGTGGAAAGATCCACCTTTTCTAACAGTCTCCTCTCAAGTGCCAGATGGCCAATTGAAGCTATTGAGGCTCTGGATGTTGAATTGGCGCCTGGCTGAGAGACACCCTTTCGGGAGGAATCCTCCAGGGGCGTGACACTGACAAACTGACTAGGTCTGCAAACCACGGCCTCCTGGGCCAATATGGTGCCACAAGGAGAATCTCTGCTTTCTGCAGTAAGGTCTTTCTGACGACTGCCGAGGTGAGAGGTAATGGAGGCAAGCCATAAAGGAGTCCCTTTGGCCACTGACAGCGAAGGGCATTGACCCGCTCCGCTCCCCGGGACGGGAACCTGGAGAAGAAACGAGGCAGTTGATGATTCGTCTCAGATGCAAACAGATCTAATGTTGGGTGATCAAACCTGCTGGAAATTTCTTGAAAAGGAAGTGGATGCAACATCCTCTGCCTGATCTATTGTAGATCTGCTTAGTCAATCTGCCCTGACATTCTGTCTCCCTGAAATATGTTCAGCTTTGATTGAGAGCATTTTTTTTCTTTGCCCATCTGCAGAGACAAGAAGTTTCTTTTTGTAATGACTTTGATTGTGTTCCTCCCTGACGATTAATGTGCCACATTATCTGTTAGGATTAACACATCTTGTCCCCTGATTATTGCCTAAAATTCCTTGAGAGCTAGATGGACTGCTCTTAATTCTGACCAACTGATATTATGCTTGAGGTCATTAGCCTTCCAAATGCCCTGTGCTACCTTGTCTCGACAATGGGCCCCCCACCCAGAGAGACTACTAGCATCAGTAGGTATAGTTGTAAACTCCCTGTCTTTAAAGGAGCATCCTTTATCTAATGCTGAAGAGGTCCACCAAAGCAAGGATATTAATACCTTGGTTGGCAATCTGACTCGGAAGGGAGAGGTACCTTTCATGGGTCTCTGAAAAGGTAATTCACGAGAATGCAGTTGTGCCCATGGTACTATATCAAGGCAGGATATCATTTTGCCCAGTAATTTTGACTTTTGGGCTGGGGATGCCCTTCTTATGCAAAAGAAATGGGCTGCTAACACTTTAATGTCCTCTCTTCTTTGTTGAGAGAGGAAAACTAAATCTAATTCAGTATCTATTATTGCTCCCAAATGTAAACATTTGGTAGACGGTTCAAACTGACTCTTTTCCTGATTAACCGAAAATCCATGAGATTGTAAGGTTTGTAGTGTGATGGTTAAGTCTCTAATAGCTAACTCATGGGGGACTGATTGTATTAAGATATTGTCCAAGTAGGCCAGTATCCTAATTGGAACATTTCTAAGATGGGCTGTTACAGCTGCCAGGATTTTGGTAAATGCCCTGGGTGCAAATGCCAACCCAAAGGGGAATGCTTTATACTGAAAATGTCGACTTGCGTAACAAATTCTTAAATACTTGCGGTGGTCAGGTATGATTGGAATATGCAAATACTCTTCGGTAAGGTCAATTAAAACTAAATAGACCCCATGTCTCACTTTCTTCAAAATAGATTGAAGCGTGTGTACCTTAAACCAGGGGTCCCCAACCACCGGGCCCCGGACCGGTACCGGTCCGTGGAACATTTTCTACCGGGCTGCCGGTTTGCTGGGCGCCGCCATCTTGTTTTGATGAGAAAGTGCTTCCGGTGAGCTTTTCCGGTTGGAAAGCGGCGTTTGGGTCCTGAAGGAATCCTTGCGCCTTAGTTTCATCGAAGGGGGGTGGTGGCTTCGAACAAAACTAAGGCGCGAGAATTCTTTCAGCACCCAAGGCAAGGCGAGCCGAGCAACCGTCCCGAAGCCGTCCCCAAACCCATCAACAAAGGTACAAAGGAGGAGTTGAAGGTGGCGGGGAGAAGCGGGAGATGGCTGGCTGGCCGGTCGCTCGGCTCGCCTTGCCATGTGTGCTGATGCCGGTACCGGGCCGCGGATCATTTTGAGATGCCGGTACCGGGCCGTGGCACAAAAAAGGTTGGGGGCCACTGCCTTAAACCTACGATAAAAAACAAAAGAGTTTAGTCTTTTCAGGTTTAAAATAGCCCTTCATCCCCCTTATGATTTGGGAACAAGAAATAACATAGAGTAGAAGCCTTGGCCCTGTTGCTCTTCTTGGACTGCTTCCACAGCTTGGCTTGTTATCAGGAGACCATGTTTTGGTCATAAGTGTTTGTCTAAGGGAATGGGAATGCATCCTACGGTGGGAGGGATCTACTCTAGGGTCTGCCTGATTTGGACTGTTAGTCTGAAGTCCTCCCATCATTCCCTGACCAATAAGTTACGTAAAGCACTGCTGAACCACCAAAGGCATTAACTGCCCTCCTGTTTCAGTGTGTTGCATTTGCCCTTATCTAGTTAAAGGAGGAGCCATTGGTCTTGGATTACTCAAGTAAGAACACCCTAGAAGTTCAGAATCCTGCATGTTAGAAGCTACTTGGCCCAAATTGTCCATGTCTGATCCCACTTGGGATAGAATAGATTGACTTGTGTGATCCCCCTTAGGAGTACTTAATTGCAGTGATTTCATTTGTTCTTTTGAATTCTCCTCTACTTACTTTACCAACGCATTATGTAGTCTACGCTTGGCCTGCTCATCAGCTTTAGTTTTCCTATTAGCTCTGGCCTTGGCCCTGATTTTGTCAGCTGCCTCCTGAGCTGATCCTCTGGTCTTACAGGTTCTTTTACCCCTACCTTTCTGTTGATTGGAAGCAATCAGATGTGAAGACATTGTGTTGGAAGATTCCTCCACAATGTCTATAACTGACTGTAACATTACTCTGACTATATCAAATAAAAATAGAAACAACAATTAATTGTAATGCATCTTATTAAATTCTTTAAGAAAATATTTTTTTCTGAGACTTTGACCCTCAGGACAGAGTTTCACCAATTTCACGACAATTAAATAGCTCAATAACCACAATCTTTCAAGGTTAACTGTCTATAAGCAGTAGAGTTCTAGTCATGAGGCACACAGCACATAAGAGTAGAAAAGCTGAGGAAAAATACCTCTTGTCTTTTTTCTGAGGTTTTGCCCCTCAGGACAGAATTCCACCAATTTGAAGACAATTAAATAGCCCAATAACCAGAATCTTTCAGGGTTAACTGTCTATGAGAGGTATAGATCGGGTCATGAAGCACACTAGAGCTGGCTAGAAAATGACTACAAAATGGGGCTCCCGCCAATTTAAACCATCACCAAGTTGATTTTACCTTTGCTGAAACCTCGTTGCGGCTAACATAGCAGCTCTGCTTAGACTGCACTCCCTTATTTGGGCAGGCTGTCTGACAGGCTTTTCGTTTTCGATCTGAGTGGTCTCTCCGTCAGCTGTTCGTCATAAACAAACCGCTCGGCGTTAAAATCGAATAAAGGTGCCTTTTGTGCTCGGACTGCTTAGCGTTCCCTTATACGGGCAGGCTGCTCAGCTGGGAAAAGGTGCATCTTCAATGCCCCCAAAACCCTATTCCAGGTTTTTGGGAGCGATCTCTGCAAACTCCGAACTGTCTATTTGCTTGAAAAAGCCGATGGAATAGAGGCTTGTGATTGTAATAAGCACCGAGGCTTTTGAAAAGCCTAGGGTGCTATTACAAATCTAAATTAAAAATACTACAAGCACTCCTCTATGATAAAGTATAGAGGAGCAAGATTAAAAATGTCTATCTCCACTGAGACTGAATAGAAGAACTGGAGACGGTGGCCCAGAAGGCATGTGTCTTCAGTTTTTCTATTCAGTCTATAGCCAAACAGAGCTGAATACAACCCATGCATGGATCCTGGTGAAACCATTCTGGAGAATACTTTGTCCTAATGACAATGACCCAGAAGCAGCCACCATTTTGATACAGAGGCAGGCATGACAAAATGGCAGCTACTTCCACAAGTCACCCGAATGACCCAGGCATGAATCCCAAACACATTCAAAATAACGGCTGCTTCCATGACACAGTCATGAAGCCCACAAATGTGTCTTGCCTTCCTTCACCAACATGAGGTTCAGAGATCTTCAAAAGGTATGGAGAAGGAGGAGACTGTGATGTCTGGTGGGTTGGGAGGGACCCAGTGGGAATAGGTGGGGACCTTTTGTGGGGACCCAAAAGGTGGGGTAGTGGAGGCTAGGCCTCTAAGAGATTCCCACAACCCTGAGGTAGTCGCTGTTCTGCTTAACATCTTGAACATTTGTTTAACAGCTTCATCAGGGAGAGAAGGGGATAGGTAGTTAAGCAAAGTAATCTCACTTAACAACCACTGCAAGATGCAACCGTAACTGACAGGCCCCATTACAGTTGTATCTAGAGGACTACATCTCTGGGGGCTGGGGAATTCTGGGGCTCAAAATATGGAAGACACCAAGGTAGAAGACAGAAATTCCATGAGTGGGAATTCCATAATCAATATAGAAAAAACACCACCCAAAAGCCTTTTTGAGGAATTCCACTACTTTTGCAAAAATGAAATTGCTGCTGATAACGAGAAACTGGTAGGCAGCCCTTTTCCATATTCCTTTTTTCTCCACTTACAAGTCTAATTCTGAGATATGTTTTCACCTACATTCCTAATGAGAGATGAGAAATGAATCCCTTCACTAAACTCATCAACTTTTCCTTCACTTGCATTTCCATGTGGGCAATATGGAACAATTTATGCCAGAAGCATCATCCAGATTTGTCTCTTCTGTGAGTCCTCCAGTATATCTCCAGATTCACATTCTGACAGAAACCTTTCCCGCCAACAGGACATTCAAAGGGTTTCTCTCCCATGTGAGTCCTCTGGTATTTCACCAAGTAGGAATTCTGATTGAAATATACCCACAATCAGGTTATTGAAAAGGTTTCTTTCCTGTGTGAGTCCTCTGGTATTTCACCGGGTCAGAATTCTCATTGAAACTTTCCCCACACTCTACATATGCAAAGAGTTTTTCTCTTGTGTCGATTCTCTTACCAAGTTGGAATTGTAACATAAATGTTTCCCACAATCAGGAAATTCAAAGAGTTTCTCTCCTGTGTGAGACCTCTGATGGTTCACCAGGACAGAATTCTGACTGAAACTTTTCCTATAATCAGAACATTAAATTGGTTTCCCTCCTTTGTGAGTCCTCTGATGGTTCTTCAGATGAGAAATCTGACTAAAACTTTTCCTACAAAGAGAACATTCAAAGGGCTTTTCTCCTGTGTGAGTTCTCTGATGATTCACCAGGCTGGAAATCTGACCAAAACTTTTCCCACAAACAGGACATTCAAAGGGTTTCTCTCTTGTGTGAGTCCTCTGATGGCTCACCAGGTTGCAATTCTGACCAAAACTTTTCCCACAAACAGGACATTCAAAGGGTTTCTCTTTTGTATGAGTCCTCTGATGGCTCACCAGGTTGGAATTCTGACAGAAACCTTTCCCGCAAACAGGACATTCAAAGGGTTTCTCTCCTGTGTGAGTCCTCTGATGGTTCATCAGGCTGTAATTCTGACTGAAACGTTTCCTGCAAACAGGACATTCAAAGGGTTTCTCTCTTGTGTGAGTCCTCTGATGGCTCACAAGGTTGGAATTCTGACTGAAACATTTCCCGCAAACAGGACATTCAAAGGGTTTCTCTCCTGTGTGAGTCCTCTGATGGCTCACCAGGCTGTAATTCTGACTGAAACATTTCCCGCAAACAGGACATTTAAAGGGTTTCTCTCCTGTGTGAGTACTTTGGTGCTTCACCAGGTTGGAATTCTGACTGAAACGTTTCCCACAAACAGGACATTCAAAGGGTTTCTCTCCTGTGTGAGTCCTCTGGTGGTTCACCAGGTTGGAATTCTTACTGAAACCTTTCCCACAATCAGAACATTCAAAGGGTTTATCAACTGCGTGAGTCCTCTGGTGTCTTATCAGGCTGGAATTCTCACTGAAACCTTTCCCACAATCAGGACAGTCAAATGGTTTCTCTCCTGTGTGTGTCCTCTGATGGTTCACCAGGTGAGAATTCTGACTGAAACTTTTCTCACACACAGGACATTCAAAGAGTTTCTCTCCTGTCTCAGTCCTCATGTGTCTCACAAGGTGGGAATATCCACAATTCCCACAATCTGGACAGTCATATGGTTTCTCCCTGCTGTGAGTCCTCAGATGTATCACCAAGTTGCCATTTTTGCTAAAGGGTTTACCACATTGGAAGCATTGGTAGGACATCCCTTCTGGGTGGGTTCTTCTGTGAACTGAAAAGGATCTGTTCTGACAAAAGGTTTTGCTACATTCAAATAATTTCTATGCGCTTTTCTCCTGAGTGGATTCTCCCGTGCATAATCACTTGCAATTTGAAGTCTTCTTCCATAATAGGCACACCTATGGAGTTTTTCCACCAAGATATTCTTGAGAAGGTCAAAAATATGTGTGATCCCTTGTTTAGTGGTTCTTTGATTTAAGCCCATTGTGCCCATACAATTAACCTTTTCCTCCCCACTGAGTTCCAGATATTTTCCTCTTTTTCTGAATGGAAAAATAATCTCCCTTGATTTTTTTTGTGTATTGTGTCCTTGAGTTCCAAATACTCTACTTTTTCCAGCTCAAAAACTCTTATTGATTTTCCTTCCTTCATCTCTGACCTTCTGTGGAAGGAGAAGAATTGTGTGGTTCTTCTGATGGAAATGGAGAATATTTTTATTTCTGCCTCAACCAGTTTTTCTTTTCACTATTGCTTGTTATTCTCAGTTGTCCAGTGTGGTCTCCTGGCATCATCTTTGTCTGTAAGATTCAAATGAAAATGTAGCTTTTATTGTTTATAAAAGGGTTGCAGAAAATGTGAAAAAGTGTACATTACAATGAAAAAAGCAAACATGCCAATATGCTAGAATAATCACTTACATTAATTATGATATTTACTACTGAGTTCCAGTTCAAATATCCATTCAATCATTAAATTCACTTGTTGACTTAGGTCAATCACAAATTCTCAGACCTGCAAAGGGTTATCATCAAATACAGTTACGTGAAGAAGAAAGTACACCCTCGACCTGTATGATTTGATGTATCACGACATAGTAAAAATAATCTCTTCGTTAGCAGTTTAAAAATAGGTAAATATAATGTCAGATGAGCAACAACAGATGATATTTTATACCCATGTCATTCTTTTTTTACAAAAACAAAAACACCCTTACTTCTTCCATAGGTATGAAGAGGCAAAGTAGCAACCAGTGCTGCTGATCAAATGCACTTGATCAATTGATCATCAACAATTGTGACTATATCTATAAAAGCCGAAGTTGTAGGAGTTTCCTGGTCTCCAGCACTGAGGTGTGAATTAGATGCCAAAGAGTAAAGACATCAGCAGGGATCTTAGAGAAGCAATTGTTGCTGCCCATCAATCTGGGAACGGTTATATTTTCCAAACAATTTAAACTCCATCATTCTACGTTCCACGTTCACAAATGGAAAACATTCAAGACACTTGCCAATCTTCTCAGGAGTGGCAGTGCCAGCAAATTCACCCCAGGTTCAGGACGTGTAATGCTCAGAGAAATTGCAAAAAATCAAAGCATTATATCTCAGGCTCTACAGGCTTTGTTTAACATGTTAAATGTTAAAGTTCATAACAGTACAATTAGAAAGAGACTGAACAAGTATGATTCATTTGGAAGGGTTGCCAGAAGGCCTCTTCTCTGTAAGAAGGATATGGCAGAAGGACTTGGATTTGTAAATTTGCATCTGAACAAATCACAAGACTTCTGGAGCACTGTCCTTTGGATGAGTGGGGATGTTTGGCCATAATGCACAGTGCCATTTTGATGAAAACAAAACGAAACAAAACAGAACCTATCACCACAAACCTCTCACACCAACTATCAAGCACAATGATGAAGGCATGATTTGCAGCCACAGGACCTGGCCACCTTGCAGTCACTGAGTTGTCTATGAATTCCTCTCTATACCAAAGTATTCAAAATCAGAATAGAGCTGGAAGGGATCTTGGAGGTTTTCTAGTCCAGCTCCCTTCTCAAGCAGGTGATTCTATATAATTTCAGACAAGTGACTATCCAGTGTCTTCTTCAAAATGTCCAGTGATGAAGCACCCACAAGGCCTGAAGGCCAGCTGTTCTACAGGTTCATGTCCTCACTGTTAGGAAGTTTCTCCTTAATTCAAGGTTCCTTCTTTCCTTGATTAGTTTCCATCCATTGTGTCTTCCCTGCCTTCAGGTGCTTTGGAAAATAAGTTGACCCGCCTCCTTTGTGGCACTTTCTCAAGTACTGGAGCACTGCTATCGTGTCCCCTCTAGTCCCTCTTTTCTGTAAACTAGCAAAACCCAAATCCTACAACTGTTCTTAAGGTTTTAGTCTCCAGGCCTTTAATCAACTTATTGCTCTTCTTTGTACTTTTTCTAAAGTCTCAACATTTTTTTTTGTAATTTGATGACCAAAACTGGATGCAGTATTCTAGATATGGACTTACTAAGGCTTTATAAAGCGGTGCTAATACTTCACGTGATTTTGATTCTAGAGTCAAACATGAGACCACCTGTCCAATTAGCAGTTTCTCACACATAGCTTTTATTATAACCTGGGACAAGGCATGAAGGCCACACAGCCAGCTGAGAGTTCAAACTCCCTTTTAATTCTCCAACTTTCCCTGAAACCTTCCCACATTTCTGGCAAGTCCTGGAGCAAAGCGATCACAGACACAAGCACACACACAGCAGCCTCTGTCTGCGAGTAGTCCAGCAAAATGTGTTAGCACAAGTCCAGCAAGGCAAAGGAACAATCTCGGGCTGCCTCGTCCTGCTCCTCCCCACATTCCCCCAAAGCCAACAAGCCCTCCCCCTCAATTTCTGTCAGCCCCAGTTCTGGCTTGTCCTCCTCTGCGGATTCAGGATCCGATGGGGGCATGACGGCACCTCTGATTTGGCTTTCTTTTTACAAAATACATGATGACACGATGTAATATGTTTGTGTGTTATTGATCATCTGAGGGTATGTTTACCTTCTTTTAAGATTTCTAAGGACCAGATGATATTTACTATGTGCTGATATGTAAAACTATAGAACTCAAACAGGGTGTACTTTCTTTTTCACATGGCTGCATATTTGGATGAAATGGGAATAGATTATACATTTGCAGATATACATATACAGAGAGAGATAGAAATACAAACGTATATATGGAGAAAATCCATGTTTCAAGGCTGAAAAATGTCACAAAATGGTTAAAGTCAAACCTTCTGAGGTAATTTATAGATGTAGGGCTTTAATTGATGAAATGATGCCTCAGCAAGATTTGAAGCACCAGTTTTGCTCATGGAAGTCCCCAGCTCCAAACAAGGACAGAAAATATTGCCCAGAACTCCTCTTATGACATTCCTGTTCAGGTAGTTCTCCATTATTGAGCATAATTGGGACTGGCATCATTTTCACTAAGAAGCCCAATCATGAAGTCTTATGTCACATGACAGTACCAACTTATATCACCTCCTCTGCAGTTATTGGTGCAAGTCCTTTTTCTGCATCTTCATAACCACAGGAACTGCTGATGTGTAGTCACTAAACAAGTGCTACAATGACCACAAAATTTGTGGACAAGCTGTACGTCTGCTTTTACAGTGCCACTATAAGTTTGAAGGCCTAGTAAGCAAGTGGTAAGTGAGGACTACCTATAGAACTGAACATCCCAAAAAGATCTCCATATATATATATTACAAAGTGCTAGTTAAGCACAGTTGAACCAGGTTAATATATGGATGGGACACAAATAGGAAATATCATGCTTGTTGGCTATACATGGAAATTTAAAAAAAGGAATCTCAGAAGAGAGCAGATGAAGACCAGACTGATATTGTTGCCAAGAAAACAGCATGTCCATAAGAGAATAAGAGAGTTGGAAGGGACCTTGTAGGTCTTCTAGTCCAATCCCTGCTCAGGCAGGGAGACTTTATATCATTCCTGATTAATTGCTGTCCCGTCTCCTCTTGAAACCCTTCAGTGATGAAGAACTCACAACTTTTGGAGGGAAGCTGTTCCCAAGGAATTAATCTTAACTTGAAGGAGGATTTTTAAAATCTTCCCACTAGCAGAAAATTGCAGCCACCACTGTTAAAGCTTGGAGCACCATCGGACTCAAAATTTGGGGAGGGAAGGAACATGTAGCAGCAGCTGATATGCTTCAGCCTAGTTGCTTCTCTGCTTCCACATCCCGGAGGAAACACAACAGCCCTACTTGCTACCAGCCTCTCCTCCGACCTGACCTCAACTCACCTTCCAGCTGCTGCTTCGACCCTGGGAACAGCAGAAAAACCACTCTGCACACCACCTTCCTCCCATGAGTGATCTGGAAGAAGCTCCTGATTCTTTCTAGCAATGCTGTACTCGATGGTTTTAACACCTTTAAGCTCAACCACATACCCCTTTTAAGGGCTTTCTAGTCATTGATAAGTGACTGCCATCTCCCGATAGGAGGCAAAAGAACACGCTTGTCTGTCTCTAATGTTTTCGTAAGATGTTTTCACTGATCAAATGCTATCAAGTCGTTGCTGAGTCCTAGCAACCTATGTTTGCAACTGATCCATCTGAAATAGTGAAATGTGATATTAAAGTAGGTTGTCAAGATTAGCTATGTGCTGAGCCCTAAATGTTTATGAAGTTCTTAAAGGATTTTCATAGAGTTGGAAGAGACCAACTCCCCAAGCAGAAGACCCTATTCTGTTCCAGATAAATGGCTGTCCAATCTCCTCTTTAAAAACCCCATTGATGGAGCACCCACAACTTCTAGAGGCAAAGCATTTCCACTGATTGTTGTCACTGAAAGGAAATTTCTTATTGATTCTAGGTTGGATGTCTTTTTGGCAAATCTCCCTCTGTTACTCTTTGTGCTGCTCTGAGGGGCACTGGTCCAGTCCAACCCCTTTCTTCTGCTTCAGAAATTTTT